GATACGAAAGGAATAACGATGATATCCCGACAAGTTGCAAAACAATAGCTGTTCATTCCCCCAGAGGTTTGTCACGCTGAATTGGGAAACATTGTCACACCACGAATAAGGTCTATTCACGTGCAGCTTTCACTGACCCGGTAATTCCAGACCATTTGCAACCTTTTGCATTTGATTAAACCATCCCGTATATAAACCCGTAAAACTCAAGGCAAGCCCATTCTCGTACCCAAAGCCTTGTCAGCTTTCTAAGGAAAAATCGAATTTCGATTTTTTGGTGAGAAGGGTCTGGGTACGAGAATGAAGGCAAGCCTTGACTTGTTCAGTTGCTCGGGACAATAGACCACGCTTTGCCAAAATGGCGGCCGCAAATTCGAATGAGTTAAAATTAATAATAAAAATAATGGGAGGTTCTTATAAAGCGCATTTATAAAACGTCTCTGATGCGCTTTACATTTATGACCGAGTGAAAAACCAAGTACCAGCACTAAAAAGAGTTCCTTTACTTAAGTAACCCTACAATATTCGTTATGCTAGGTGTGCTTATGATATTTCGGCCGCTATACCTCGAGACTTACAAACGTCCCCAAAATTATATCTGTCGATTTTCAGGTGTATGCACTCAGAGTGTTTACTGCCAGGGTTTTCTTTACATCCACTGTTCAGTGGTTCTTTTGATGATGAAGTGTGGAGAAACGGGACGGCCACTTAAAGTGATCATCCGAGCCACTCAGAGAAAATCTAAGACCCTGAATGTCGTTCTTGACGGGGCTTGCACAAGTGTGGAACCAAATGAGCCAACCGGCTGGCTGTACACCATTTTATAAATGCTTCACTAATTCATCAGGTAACGAATTCCTTGGTTTAAAAATACCTCGCACTTGTTCGTCAACGTTTGACCTTGACCTTGATCTTAGACTCGACAGTTCGAACGATCCCGTCGTGTGAGACYTTAATGAAAAAAGTGTTTTTCCATTAACATTTTTACTGCAACATTGGCGGAGATTCAGTTTGCCAAAAATTAACGGATTAATGACACTATTGCTGTAGACAACAATATTACTGAACGTTAACATGGTGCTAAAGTTCGGATCCTTGCCGCCATTTCCAAAGTCGTGCCACAGCCATAGAACATGAAATGGGAGCAAACACAACGCAAAAGCTACGACAGCAGTCACACATAATCTTACCATCCGAAGATTTTGTTCCGCTCTTCGACGTATCATTTTATCTAGGTATGGTCTTTTACCGCCCATTAGTCTTACTACTTGAGATTTGTCCATGTAAAGACGAAGTAAAACGCGAGAGTAACACATGGAGATGATTAGCAGAGGAACGAAGTAGAGAGTTAGAAACACGCCGGATGTATAGGCTTGGACGAAAACTGGATTATTCGGCCAGTTTTCCTGGCACTGTTCGTCTTTATACTCCAGGACTTTTATATAGGGTATGACAAGTAGAATCGAGAGTACCCAAGATCCCACCATTAGTCGTTTGACTGTTTTACATCTAAGTTTAGGTTGTAGTGGTAGAACGATTGCCTTGTAACGCTCGAGGCTCAAACATAAGAGAGTAAGTACAGACGTCGACAGGAAGATAGTTTGCAAGGGATAAATAATCCTGCACAAGAACGACCCGAACAGAAACCTCTTCGTCACTTGCTCGGTAACATCTAATGGTATGCTCAAAGAACACGTACCGAGGTCGGTGATGACAAGGTTGAGAATGAAATACTCRTTTATTCTACGTCTTTTGTGAGAACAAATGGTTTTAAAAACCAGGACATTACCGATCAGACCGAAGACTACGATAAAAGAATAAAGAGTATACTGGCTGATTATGACTGGTGTAGTAGTGATGAACGCAGATGAATTGTTTGTGAAGTTCGTCATTCTTGTTTCTCGAATTAAGAACGTTGAACTTATAGAACGTATGTCTCAGCGTAGATTGCACTCATCGTTTTCAGTGACGCAGCTCATGTAGAGGAAATAGCATCAAAAACCTAACAAACAAGAAGGAACACAAGGAAAATTAGGATTAAAAAAAGTGTGTAGTGTAAGACTTGGAACAGATTTTGTGTGCGTTCGCATACATATTTTACTCAGGGTAGAATCAATGCTGAAAAAATTGAGTTAGTGGCCAGAGGCACTTTAAAGACGGGTTTCAACTCTGCTAAGATGTTTTGCTTTTCTATAAGCAGACAAAATTATTGGCGTTTTTGCAAAGTCTGATAGACCTCTTAAGTTCGGACGTAATGTTTACGTATTTCAGACCACGTGTCAATCCCTAGAGTATTATTTCTTTGTTTAACGGTTGCACCTGACAAGACACGTGAATATGGATACAACTTGACAAAGAATCGTATTCTCAAGAGAGTGACACGGCGTGCCATAGGAAATTATTAAGCCCAAGCTAATTTAGCCTAACTATTTCTTCTAAGTAGATATCAAATGAGGATTCTGCGCCATGTAAGGATTTTAGAAAAGAGGCCTCCTCTCATTCGTTCCTTAATTCAACTTTTAAGCAGCATGGCTCCGCCGGCTCCGGAAATTGTGGGGGAGGGGTGGTGGCCTGGCTCCGCCGGCTCCACGATCCACATGGCGCAGAACCCTCATTTCATATCTACTCTTCTATAGTAGTCGAGCAGCAATTTTAATTTGGCAAATCAGTTATGCTTCTAGAAAATTCTGTGAAAGTGCAGAAAGAACACCTTAAGGGAATGTTCATCATGAAAAATAAATAAAAAATCAAGATAAGAATTATAACCAAATATTGTCATTAGGATTAGGGATAAGAAACAGATTGAAAACGCTTACTACACCTTCTGGATCATTCGCGTGATGTACAGAATCGCAAACATCATAAAGTAATCATTTATCTTCTCAGACTGATATCCCTTAGATTAAATCTGCTTTTTTCATCACTAGCATTATCCCACACGTTTAATGGGCTAACGGCCGAAAGGAAGCAGAATGACATAACGTCGTCTATCAATGACTAGACATCTACTATATCCATGAAAGCCAAAGCCTACAGCTGTTTCTAACGAGAAGAAAAAGTGATGCCTTAGAGCAATAATTCTTAATCGGTTTAATGGCTTTGGGTTCGAAGCTGTTAAGGGGAAGCTGACTAGTAAGTAATTACAGTGAAGCCTCTTCTCTGACGGACTAGCCGAACCCGCTCTTGCTTAGATTTCTCAGTATTATCCTCGGTAAGCCTCCCCCCTTTTCCTCGCATCACTGGTAAAATGTTTGTAATAAGCCCCGTTTACACTGGCGATTTTTGCTGCGATTTTTGTGGCAATTTTCGGAAATATGAAATATTTTGTCTCATCCTTCAAAAGAGACATTCGTCTAGGAAAATCTGAGTATCCTGAAAAAAACTTTACAAGTAAATTTTTTACCATTATTTATTATGGACAAAATCGCAAAAATATAATCGCAGCAAAAATCGCTAGTGTAAACGGGGCTATATTCACCTCCTGCTAAAATTCATCAATCCTCCACTGGGACACCTCTATATTACAAACACCTCTACATTACTGACAGATATTTTTGGCCCCGGCAAAATCTATATACTCTTTTTTCATAGAACCGACCTTTATATTACGGACACCTCTACATTACGGACAAATATTAGGTTCGGGCAAAATCACCACATTCTTTGTTGCATAGACCCCTAACTCTATATTAAAGATAAAATTAAAGAAGAAGATTAAAGAAGAAGAAGAAGAAGAAGAAGAAGAAGAAGATGGTGATGATATCTTTATGAAAGATCTTCTCCTAAAACGTAAACAACTTTCTTGCTGTTTTCATTGTTTACCAGTTCTAACTAACACAAATGAAAAGTTTCGAGAATGGATTTAAATACATTGTTCTAATCAATTTGCTGTCATTCCAAATGAAGTAATAAATAGACCCTTCTATAATACACAGCAAGTTGCATGGGAACGGCGATATGAGTTTCACGTTTTACATTAGCAAAAATTACCAATTTTACTRAAGTAAATATTTCAAATTTAATACCAAGAATGCAACTATAATATAAAGAGAAAAGAGAAATACATAAAGCTGAAAAAAAATAATCAGTTACATACTCTGGAAGGTAGCATTTTATTGCTCAATAGTTGATGAACCTATATATGTTGTGGAGTTTCTTTGAAATGGAACTTGGAAGCGTTGAGGTTGCGGAGCGGGAGGAAAACCGGAGAATCAGACAATCAATCCCCTTAAGGGCCAGGAGAGATGCAATTAAGATTGTGAGGCGGTATTGTATGATGGCGGGCTGTATTAGCAAAATATGAAGACTTTCTCAGTCCACTTCYCCTCCTCAAACACAACAACACACGAGTTAGAACAATTAACTACTTACGTGAAATAATAGATTGTTGAATGGATAAATAAACGAGAAATAGAAAGAACAAACAAACGAACAAGTAGATGAAGGAATAAATATGACAAGCAGTTATATAGATTATTCATTYGAGATATACGTTTCTATGAGTTTGAGACAGACAGTTTTCGATAGAGTTAAAGAATGGATTGTATTCTGAGAAAGATGCTAGACTCATAAATGATAGATTTAGGGTAATTATGGATGAAGATACTATGTGAAAATAAAATTTTAGAAGAAAGAAGCAAAATACAAAAGTAAATAAATAAAACGAAATATGGCGACCAATTTGATAAACTATTGTCATTCTGGACTGACTAACACCTGAAAACGTTTTTTATGTTCAAATATAATTCCACAGGCATATACAGTTTGATAAGAAATAGTAATACGAGAGGATTTGCTATGTTTTTAATTGCCTTTCTCCAAAGGCCTTCAACAGCAAAGTGAATCTTTTTTTTATGTTTCTACGTGAACTAGAGGCCAGGCAGTCCAGAACAATAGCTATTCGAATTGCACACCATATTTTTTTTCGGTGTTGACAAAGGCAAACGAAGACATTTAAAAAATTCTATTGAAGAAAAAAAGAGAAAAAGAAAAAGAAAGAAAAACGAACAACAAAAAAA